TTATGAAGCTTGTGCTGTAACAAAGACGCGCTGTAAATCTTGAAATGGGGCAGGCACACGTGGGACGCCATGATCTCCGCAAGTTAATGTGCCCGTCACATACGGGTGAATTTGAAGTGGGAAAAAGATGGATACTAATCAGTGAGTTGGCCCTGAACCTTCCAGGCTGTGTGCTGAGAACTTCCCGTGGGCAGAGTTATGAAGTCCCACAGCACCCACTGGGATGCTACTGCTATTAGCCCCATTACACAGAGCAGGGAAGTGAGGTTTGAAGAAAAAGGAAGTCTACGCTGTGTCAAAGGCCCACACTCTTACACAGTCAGCCATAGAAATGGAGAGGCTTCCACAATGACTTGGGCCTCTCTAGGGTTCCAATACAAGCCCCAGGGACAGCAACCAGGGGACCAGCCCTTTCCATAAGCTAGAGCAACCAAGTGGCATCTGTCCATATATATTTGGCTCTGAATAAGATTTGAGGAAAGAATCCCCTGCTTAGGGAAGAGTTGAATTGCTGGATCCAAGGATTTTAATTGCATTGGATGCTGAGGATGCTGGAATTAGTGCCAGCCCTCCCTGCCTTAAATCCTGTGAGCTGACAGAAGTCTTCCCAGAGCACATAGGGGTACAGCTGAAAAGAAATAGTATACCTTTGAAGTGTATTTTTCGTTTTTATTATTTTATGTGTACGCGTGTGTGCTTGTATGAGTTTATATGCAGCACATACATACAGGGCCCCCAGAGAACATAAGGTCACCTTTCAAAACTATGGGCTCCTGTGAGGGTGCTGGAAACCGAACCCCAGTCCTCTCCAAGAGCAGTCAGTGATCTTAACAGCTGGACTATTTCTCCAGCCCCCAAGAAACCTGTTTTCCCCCTCTTTGATAAATTAGAAGTAAAGGAACTAGAGGAATGTGAGAAAGTGTGGCAGCTTAGGTCATCGCCATTTTAGAATGCGTTTGAGGATTTCTTCCCAAAGCCTACCACAACCTGTGAGGGAAGTGAGGCTGCTCATTGTCAACACTGGCTTAACAGTGTCAGTCACACACTCGGAATGACAGCCCGATGCTTTGTGTCTCGTTCGGTGCCCCTTCTTCAGTGTCTAACACATAAGGATCACCAAACAAACATGTGCTGATCAAATCAGAAGCTTAAACGCAGACAGGAAGTGATGACATCAGGATCTTAGCCCTACAATACCAGCTATGGAGTTACAACCCACTCTGCCTTTTCTATGACAAAAGAGTGGCATCTATTGAAAGCCATTACAAAGACATTGGGACACTGATGGCTTTGTGTTTGATCTCACTTCACGTTTGGAATGCTATCCTCTCTTAATGCAAACTTGAAAACCCTTACCATAAAACTTTTAGTCCTGCAAATTTCAGGTTTGAATCTATTCAGTATCTTGAATGGAATGTCTGCCAGTCTTTACTCGAAATATCCATAGATCCCTTTTATTGCAAAACCATGATGCATTTTTTTAAAACTTAGCTTTAACTTCTTGGTTTCTTGGGATCGTATCTTGTTATGGATCCCTCAGTGGCCACAGATTCTTGATTTTCATGACTGAGACTTCTGAGTGCTAGGCTATAAGGTATGAGCCACCGTGTAGGAGCCATTGATATAATTGATAGACTAGAACTTGGTTCTTTAAGAATATATTTATTTCAAGTTCATTATTTAATGCATTTGCAAAAGAAGAATAGAGATTATGCTGTACATTAGTTAATGTGGAGATACCTGGAATAGGTTATTCTTTTTCTTGCCTCTTATAAATTAAATACCACTTGGTGGTGGCCATTTACAGGAGGGAACGTGGTTGGCTGGCAGGTGCTGAGAATGGGCTGTGCTCAGTCTCTCCACATCTGGCTTTGAAGTGTTTGTAGGCTCGTTCCTCGCACCACACCTGCCTCCCCCTCTGAAAATCTCCCTGAATTCTGAATCCAATATGGATGTTGGGCCAACAGCACAGCCTCCAGCCTCTGGAGAACGCCTCCAGCAAGGCGCTGATCTCTGCCTCACGCCTTCTGGAGATAACCAGTGGTTTACGAAATGGCGTGTTGCCATGGCACTGCAAACATGTAGGTGGGGGTCATGCAGCTGGGATTCAAATTAAGTCGATATCCAGTTTAAAAGTGCTCCTTTTTGTCTTCAAGATATTTTTTCCAATTAAAAATAAAATCATGACAAGAAAAGCGTTGGGTCTGCTCCAAGCCGGGTTCATTCTGCTTTGCCTCGTTCCCTAAAGCCCTGTCTCCCACCCCCCGAGTCCCGGTTAGGATCCTCTGAAAGCCTCCTTCTCAGGAGGGCGGTGTATTGCCCATCTGGGGAACAACTTGAACAGTATCCTGACTACCGGAAATACACATTCTGGGCCTGAACAGCAACACCAAAGATTGCCAAACAGTCCAGCCCAGCCTCCATCCCGGATGGCGGTTTTACTTACATGCTATTGCAAAAGAGGAAGAGAAGCAGTGACCCTTTCAGCCCATGGAAGAGGCCTCTGTAACCAAAGGCAGGCCAGCAAGAGAAACAGATCCGTGGCTTCACCTAAGCTCCCGGTTTCTGGGGAGATAAAGAGCCAAATAAAGAGACCTTCGTGCTGGCTAGTTTTTTTTATTTTTATATTTTACACAATCTGAAGTTATCTGTGGAAGAGGGATCTCAATGGAAAAAAAACCATTAGGTGGCCTCTAGGCAAGTCAATAGTGCACCATCCCATGGCGGTGGCTGGGGATGGGGGGTGGGGAAGGGGGGGTGGGGATGCAGCCTTAGGCAGATGGTCCTTAGATGTGTATCTATGAAAGCAGGCTGGGAAAGTCGTGCAAGCAGCGTTTCTCCACGGCTTCTAAAGTTCCTGCCTCCAGATTTCTGCCTTGAGTTTTGTCCTGACTTCCCTCAGTGAGGGAGTGTGGCCTGAGAGCTGAAAAGAGGACGAAAACCCTCTCCTCCCCAAGCTGCTTTTGGCTGTGGTGTTTACCACAGCAACAGAAACCCTAAGTAATAACAACCTTAATGTAATTTTTTTTTGCGGTATTCGGGATTGCTCCTAGGACCTTGTGCACGCTAAGCGAGGGCTCTGTCATTTGAGACAGGGTCTCACTACATTGCCCAGGCTGCCTTGAAACGTGAATGAATTCCTCTTGCCTCAGCCTCCCAGGGAGCTGGGATCACAGCCTGCATCACCTGGCTCAGGGAGCCTGGCTGTGTGTTCTTAAGCTCGGTTTGCTGGCGAGGGAAATGAGCTGGGTGAGGAATGACTGCCAAGTCAGTCCTTTTTCTGAACATCCTTCCCTTTGTGTTCAGAAGCATTGATGTTTCCTTCGTTCAGGCCTCGGGGCAACACTTCTCATGTGAGGACTTAAAACCTGCATCAAGGAAAAACCAGAAAAGCCTTCCTAGGAGTTATGTCTCCTGAAGGGAGGAAGGGAGTTGTGACACAGCATTGCACACTTCCTTGGCTTCCAAGGGGTCATCTTTTAGGACGGCAAGTCCCGAGTCTCATCTCACGCCACCGTGAGAGCCTGTTTTGAGATAGAGACAGACAGCTGTTCAGTGTCACATGTGTAATATTTGTACACACAGATCCTCATCAACTCATGACAGTCACATCCAATAAAACTCATATATATTAAAAATACTATAAGTGGAAAATTTAGTGAGTTCTCCAACCTACCAGGCATCAGCTCAGCCACAGCTCAGGAGCTGACTGGTACCGCGGTGCCTCTAACGAGAAGCAGAAGAGCTGTATGAGTTTGCAGCCACACCAGCGTAAAGCCGAGAGATTGTGAGTCAAACTGTGCCAATGGGGAAGTGTGTGTGCGCGCGTGCACGTGTGTGTGTGTGTGTGTGCGCGCGCGCGTGCGTGCGTGTGTATAAATTTTTGATTTGGACTATTAGAAAAGGGGTATATTTTAGTTAAGTTTAATATTGCTGGGATGAAACACTATGACCCAAAGCAACTTAAGAGGAAAGGGTTTATTTGGTTTCCATGTTCTGGTCACAGTCCTTTGAGGGAAGCCAGGGCAGTAACCCACACAGGGCAGGAACCTGGAGGCAGGTTCCGAAGCAGGGGCTAAGGGTGGGTGATGCTTACAGGCTTGCCCTCATGGCTTGTCTAGCCTGCTTTCTTGTAGAGCCCAGTAACACCAGCCCAGGGGTGACACCACCAACAGAGGGCTGGATCCTCCCCCAATGAACCATTAATTCAGGAGAGGTAGAGAGACAGACACTGGGCCTAGCACAGGTTTTGAAAAGCCCATCCCCAGTGACACACTTCCCCCAACAAGCCTCCACCTCCTAACACTCTAATCAATTTCAAACAGTTCGCCAACTAGGGACCGGCGTGCAAATATACAAGCCTGTGAGTGTCCCTCACCACCAGCCCCCATATCCCAGTGGCAGAGATTTCAAACGCACCGGACAACTTAAGCAGAGAAGGTTCTGGATTCAGAGATACTGTTACTCTTGGTTACCATGCTCAGCCCCGTCAGAGTGCATAGAGACTGCCACACTAGGCAGGGACCATAGTCACGTGGCCCTTTTTTGGTAAGCCCATACCTAGGAGTAGCTCACACCCCAGGGGAGAAAAATCTCACAGACTCCTTCCCCCTTCTCTCCAAGGGCAGGTCTGCTGGGTGTCATACATGTGCCCCGCAGTGCTGGACTCCCATCTCTGGAGAGGCAGGGCCGTTTCAGAGCACCCGATTCCCTTCTTCCGGGCACAAGATGGCTGGTACAAAATGGAGCAGCTTCTGCAGAGCTAAGATTTGAAGCCGCTGATAATTTTTCAATCACGGCTTTTAAAACTTCCATCTCTTTTCACATCTTCTGTCAGCCGATTTTAAAATCCCATTTTCTTAAGCATCAAGAATGGTACACTGCACAAACCAGCATTTGTGTGTGTGTGTGTGTGTGTGTGTCTGTGTGTGTGCGTGTGTGTGCGTGTGTGTGTGTGTGTGCGTGTGTGTGCGTGTGTGTGTGCGTGTGTGTGTGTGCGTGCGTGTGTGTGTGCGTGCGTGTGTGTGTGTGCGTGCGTGTGTGTGTGTGTATGTGTGTGTGTGTGTGACACAGACACAGCTTTTTATGTGTCACCTCCTTTAGCTCCCTACCCCCATCTACACAATTTCTGGGCTGTCCCCCCCTGTGCAGGCTAGCTGTCACTTTAATGTCTCTGTTTCCATTCTGTGTCAGTAGAACCCTGCCACAGTGGCCCGGGAGTAGCTACGGTGCTCGTTTCCTCTTAAATCTGAAACAGGCCTGTGGGCTTTGCAAGGGAATTGACCGCTCGTTTTATGGAACTCTTTGTTTTACGGGAAGAAAATATGCGGTGCCCTTTCCTATTTGCAGCACAGAAAGAAAATGTTTTTCTTTCCTTTTCTGTGAGGCACAATGGTCTCTGACTCAGTACAGGATTGAGTGTGAGATTCATCCCCGTTTTCATCAAATTCCTTTGTCTTCACCGTTCTTTCATCTTCTTCTACCATGGGTCCAGTCTGAGAACGACTCTTAGAAATGCAGCCCTGTCCTCTCCATCTCTGAGAGCAATATTTGACCGTGCTGGCGCCAAATGTGGATGGATTTTATCTGGAGGCGGGTTATAGCGAAAAGGGGGCTGCAGGGAGTCATCTTCCCTGTGTTGTTTCCATGGTTAACGAAGCTCTGTCGCAGCGAGTGGAGAATGTGTGCTTGGGTTTATATTTCTAGCAGCCTGTGCTAGTCTGATGTTCACGAAATAGCGCCCAGAGGAGACAAAGAATCAGGAGGTGCGGGCACCTGGCCTGGACCCTGCAAAGGAAGCACAGTGTGGGGGGCTTAGGGCGGGGGCGTGTGGCGGGGGCAGGGCCTGGGGCATGGGGCGGGGGCAGGGCGGGAGGCGGGGGTGGGGCACGGCAGTGGCAGCAGAGGGCGTGAAGCTGAATACTAGAAACTTGTGACTATGGTGCAGTAGGGCCAAGCTTGTTTCTTGTGGAAATCGCCATCTCACAGCCAGGGGAGATTTTGTTTTCTTTTAAAGTATAATAAACTCTGGCATGATTTTTCTTTCTTTACTTTTCTTAGTGATGTAAAAGACCATTTCTTACCCCTGATGCCTACTTGCCCTCTAAATCTTCCTAAACTACCCCCCTTCCTTCTTTCCTTCTCTCCCTCCTTCCTCCCCTCCCTCCTTTCTTTCTTTTCTTTTTGTGATGCCAGATACCCATAGTCATGATATTGAAAGTGTTGGACCTGATGCAATGTGAGCCTGCTTACCGAATGCTCAGAGCAGCTCAGGAGTCCTAGGTTTAAGATAGTTAGAGATAGAGAAACTTCTGAGAACACGGTTTCTATTTCTGGCTACTTTTTAGAAATTTATTGTTGTTGTTGTCAAGAAGAAAAAAAAAGCTTTATGGTTTTTGTTCAAGACAGTCTGAACATCTGTATCTGGTCTCTTTGGCATAAAATTATAAGAAAATTAAAATACAACAATAGGAGTTGATTACCTAAATAATGTCCCTACAAATGATGGAGTCGTAAGAAAGAGCAGAACACAGAGAGCATCTATGTCTAAGCTAGTTCAGAATTAGCAAAATTCATCTCTTTTGTTCATTGTTCTTAATTCAACATGTTCTACTACTTGATTTGATTAACAAGAGGGTTTGGGTGGGGTGGGATGGGGTGGGGTGAGTGATGGAGAGCTGGCTCAGAGGTTGAGACCACTTGCTGCTCTTCCAGAGGACCCAGGTTTGAATTTATTCCCACAACCACATGGTACTTCCCAGTTGTCTGTAACTCAGTCCCAGAGAATCCAGTGCCTTCTTCAGACTTCCAGAAACACCAGGCACACATTTGGTATACAGAAAAAAACACTTATATACATAAAATAACAATGAAAATAAAATTCTCTTCTTGTTTGGATAAGAAAATTCTCATTTTCTCTTGAGAAATGATAGATAGCACTGACTACGATCTGTTTGCTAATTCCAACCCTATTCAAATGTTTGAGTTTTAAAAATTAATACCTACAAACTTTTTAAAATTTTCTTCCATAATTACACTGTTCTTTATTATCCAACTCTGACTTATTCAACCTCCTCAGGAGAAAGGAGAAACACAAAAGTTGTCCAAACCATTATTCCTTCTTAAGTTATGTAATATCGTCACAAACCTTTTGAGATAAACTAGACAGTCTAGACTAAAACCTCCGAGCAGCAATAGGATGTAGAGGAAATAATAATGTTTGTGGAAGTGTTACTTTTAAACATAATGGCGATTTATAAAAGCTTACCGACCACTTGCTCTGATGTCCCCTGCTTACATTCAGGTGTCTCTAGTCTCATTTCAAGGCTGCTCCTTTCCTAAAGAAAATGTTTTTCTTTGTGGGAAACGACATTAGAGGTGTGGAGAAGCATCCTAAGCTGGCTCCCAACTGTCCACTGCAAAAACTAACACATTCTCAACAAACTAATACAAATTTAAAATTATAAAAAGGGTAAGTAAGTAGATTTTAGAAAGCATGGTACAAGGCCAGAACCCCCACAATGCCGACCTGCTGACTGCTGGGGGTTGTCAGCTCCCAAGAAGAGATGTCAAGACTAATTTGAACCAAAAATGGCACCGGAGGGCCTAGGTGGTATCAACCTTGGTCAGGGAAGCTTCATTTTTTTTTCCAGTGGACAGCTGTCAGTGGAAGAGATGCATGGCTGATCAGCGAGCTAGAATAAGACTGAAGTCTCAGCGCTAAATAGGACATCTATATTTAACCCCCAACCCCACACCACCGAGGCTCGGGGCACAGCCCTGAGGGAAGTGGGGAAGGCGCTGGGAAGCTCGGTCTTCTGGACACGGGGTGTCTGCCGCCATCATGATTTCACAGCAGCGTGTTCTCTGAGATCAAGCCCAGCCAGAAGCCAGGCAGAGGCGATGTAGATGGCCCCCGGGCCCCTCCCTATACTGAGTTGCTGTTGGTGGCAGGCACAGGCAAGGGGTAGGGAGAATGGTTCTTAACTGGGGACATGGACGCCGGTAGCTTCACCAAGCTGCAGTGGGTTGCCTCAACCACACGCATGCACAGGGAGTTATGGGGGAATATAGGAGACAATACAGTGGGAAAATCGGGGTAGATAAGATTGTATTTCATTAAGTACAGGTATGAAATTCTCAGAAAGAAGACCTCACCCCCTTCACCTTGGTGTTCAAAGTCTATTTTCCATGACATACTTGCTGACTCTTCAAATCTCCCCCTCTTTGTCTGGCTCGCTTGTCCTGAGAGGCACAAAGAATGGAAACAGAGGAGCTGAAACCACGAGTCCCCACCCAGGCAGCCATTACCCCCTGTACCACCCAATGCTTTCTCTTACCCGAGCAACACACGCCAGTCATCAACAGAATTCCCCCTTTTGAGGCCTTAGAAGATTTCCCTACAAAAAACCACCGCTCAGTGAAGCATTGCTGCTACTAAAAATGTCCTGTGGTATTCTGAGCCACTTGAAATGCTATTTGAAGTCTATTTAGTTTAGAGTATCCTTGGTGATGAAATGCTTCTGACGTGTATGCAGGCAGCCCTAAGTTCCTAAGAAACAAATGGAACTCAGATTTTGTACGGACTAATACCTACCAGGAAGCATGTTAAGAAATAGTTCAAGGCTGTGTTTGATGTCTACCCTGCTAGAGAGAAACCAGCTACATGAATAATTCCTAAAAAGATCAAAATATTCTTTCATGGGCATAATTCACTAGCATTCACAGAACCACCATTGTGAGCTCTGCCTATGAATTTGTGAGCTGTTTGGTTTTGGGCAAATCGAAGACTAGTGAGTTTATACTTGGAATCAAAATTATATTTTCTGCGGTGTTTCGCTGTAGTTGGATTTTTCTTTAGGCCACCAGCTCACAAATAGCAGCAGGAAAACGTATTATTAATTATGAAAATTTGGCCCTAGTTTAGGCTTGTCCCACTAGCTCTTATAGCTCAAATTAACCCATTTATATCAATCTACATTTTGACTGCTGGCTTTTTACCTTTCATTCCATATGTCTGACTCCCTCCATGTCTCCTCGGTGTCTCTCTCTCTCATGCCTAGCCTCATCTCCAGCCCCTCTTTTTTTTCCTGGAAGTCCTGCCTTTCTCTCCTGCCTCGCTGTTGGGCATTTAGCTTTTTATATACACCAGTCACAGCAGCACATCTTCATAGTATACAAATACCTCACATCATTAACAATTTTTTTATGAAGCACATTTCATTTTTCCCTTAGGTCTTATACTAAAACTACTTTTGGAAAAGCAGACTTTCCATTCTAGAAAGAAAGAGAGTGTGTGTGTGTGTGTGTGTGTGTGTGTGTGCATAAAACCTTCAGCATTTTAGGTTGAAATTAGTTTGATTACATTCAATATAGTATCCTGTTACTTAGAAAATATTAAAAACTGTTTGACTGACATTAGCCATATGGCACCAAAATGACTCTTTATGATTAACTTAGGCATTCATGACGTGGACGGATGAGGAGGAAATGAGTTAAGGATTTCAAACCCAGACTGCCAAGATGAATCATATTAAATGCCAAGCGGCAGAGCAAACAATTGTTTGGAGGCTAGAACATTCTTGGGCAAGTTTCCCGCGCAGGTTCCTGCATTTGTCACCCCTGCCTCCCAGGCACGAGTGACATAGCCATTGGGGTTCTGTTAAACTTACCACATGTGCATGCCCAGCATGATGGGGTTAAGGGAAGATCTTAGATGTGGTAGGAGCCCTGGCATTGTTAATCTCACAGTGAAGGCAGCTCCAAACACCTTTTTTTGATTAAACACTTCAGGGTTAATTTTATGTTTGTGAAACTCTATAGAAATTGCTGTGGGTCTCATTTGAGAAATCACTGAGTAAAACACACACACACACACACCTAAAATGAAACCAGGAATGTGGGGACTGAGATTTTTCATTCTTTGGTAATCATTTTAGTTACAAGATATTTTGTTGCACGGCGAAATGATGCGTAGCGGCACCTAGCCCCTCTCTGCTCGTCTCCCCCCACAAATGCATCCTTTGGACACACATGTCTGCTGCTCATGGCTCCAACACCTGTCATAGTGCCCCTGTGCACACACACAGCCACTCTGCATGCACACCCTTCCCAGGCTTCTGACATGCCACCATCCGAGCGAGCAGAAGTGGCCCCGCCCTCCTCACGGATGCTTCCTTCTTCCTGTTCCCTTGAGAGTATGCAGCCAGGAGTGGGCCCTGGGGCCTTGTGTTCAGAAGGTTTCTAAAGCCTCTACTGAGCTCTTAGTAGGGGCCCAATGAGCAATGTCAGTCAGCTTTCTGTCACGATAGCAAATAGTGACATTCAGTTTATAAACACAAAAAAGTTTTTTTTTGGTTCATGATCTTAAAAGTCATTTTTTAGGTTTATATGCTCTATATGTACAGGTCTTTGCCGGCATGTATATACGTGCACCATGTGCATGGAGTACCTGTACAGCCCGTGAGAAGCCAAGGGATCCCCTGAGAAGTGTGTGTCATGGTGTGGGTGCTGGGTACTGAACCGGGTCCTCTGAAAGATCAGCCAGAGTGCTCTTATCCACTGAGCCATTGCTCCAGCCCGTGGCTCATGGCTTTTGAGCAATGGTTCTTAACCTATGGGCCATGACTCCTTTGGAAGGTGGAATGACTCTTTTGCAGGGGTTGAATAACAGTATCCTGCATATCACATATTTACATTACTGTGTTCATAACAGCAACAAAATTGCAGTTATGACATAGCAGTGAAATAATTTTATGATGTGGGGAGTTACCACTCATGAGGAGCTGTATTAAAGGGTCACAGCACCAGGAGGATTGGTTTCCTTCCACGGTGGGTTGGCCTCTTTGATTTGGGTCTGTGGCAATACATCCCAGCCCGAGTGTAAATAATGGAAAATAATGAGAGATGAGCTCCTCAAAGGGGTCATTTCATCTCTTGAAGTTAGCTTCCTCTCTGTCCTCCACTCAAACACGGGGGGGGGGGCGTTCACAGTGAAGCAAATTTCCACCCTGCCTTTACCCGTCTCAAACCCAGCATGGCAGTCATCTTAGTGAGATGCTATCCTTCCCTGTTTCCAGTCTGTATGCCCAGCATGGCAGTCATCTTAGTGAGATGCTATCCTTCCCTGTTTCCAGTCTGTATGCCCAGCATGGCAGTCATCTTAGTGAGATGCTATCCCTCCCTGTTTCCAGTCTGTATGCCCAGATCTCCCTAGGGAGACAGGGTGAGCATCTGGTCTGGGGATCAGGATGCCAGGGTCTAGCAGGCTGGGTCTGGGGTCTGTGGGCACAGGCACAGAGGAGTCTCGATGCCTCACAACCCCATTCCAGCTCAGTCTTCCAACCCTCTGTGCCCCTCCACTCGGCCGTCCTCCCTGCCCAGTCTCCTACTTAGGCCTCCCCTGTTTCGTCTTTCAATTTTTATCTCCCTGTCTCAATCACATCATGGAACTGAAGTGAACTTACACGATCATCTCTTTTCAAAATCATGTCCCGCGTTCTCAAATTTGTAAGCAATAAAGAACAGCCACTCATTTTTGTTTCGCACTCCTTCAATGTCCACCTTAAAAATAAGTTCAGCTTTTTCGTGCTGCATATAATTTTTTACAGGGCTTAGTAGTTCTTGTCAAAGAAAATGATCCCTGTGTCTAAGATAGCTACCTGGGCTTGAATTCCAGTGATAAACAGAATAATGGAATTTTTGTTTCCGTGTTCTGTAAAGCAGCCATTCAAAACAGGAGAATGCATGGTTTTCCACCACCAAGTGATGGTCAAGACAGTTTTGATGATCACAACTGTGAAGCCGGTATCACTAACATCTGGAAGGTAGATGTTGGGGAAACTGGGAAACATCTTACAGTGAGCATCCCCAACAACAAAGAATTATCTAGCCCCAAATGTCAATGGCACGAAGCTGAGAAACCCGTCTTAATGTAGGACAAAACTGTAGGTGTCTAATTCACAAAACCCGAGAAATAGTTTCTATTTATTGTTTCAGCAAAGTTAAATCTTATTAAAGCTACAGGAATTGGTTTTGTCCACACAGCCCCCGAGTCCATCTCCATAGCCTGGATATTTTCATTGCATGAAAATCAGTGATCTCTACTTTCTTACTTATGTTGCTTTACTTCATTTTAATTCTGGTGACATGTTTTTCCCAAGGTGTTGCATGGTAATAAGCAGAGAAGAAAGTCAGAAATGCATTTGATTCTATTCATTACAGAATAGGTGTGATTTTAGAGAAAGCTGTAGTTTTTTTATTTGTATTTCTAATCAACACCTACTGCAGCTTCTTTAGAAATATGACTACACAATTTTATAGCTGTTTGTTCTTTGAGAATTTGATTTTGAAGTTTACTAGTATGTCCATTTCCCCAAGCTGTCAATACATCTAAGAGAAATTTAATTTACAAGCAGCCTCTAATATAGACCAACAAATGTATCTTTTATTAGTAGCCTCCTTCTTGTCTTCATTTATATATTCCATTTTTCAAAATGTATTATTCCTTTAAATATTCATTCTATTTCTTCCTTACATTGTCATTCCATATAAGCTCCCAAGACTGACACTGGTCAGTCTCAGGGATGAGGAATGCTATATTGTGAGGGCCTACTGTTTTGAGTGGAGTGCAGTGTCTTGGGTACAGAATACTTAGAGAGGCTGGAGAGATGGCTCAAAAGCTAAAAACACCAGCTACTCTTCTGGGGAACCTGGGCTAGATTTCCAGCATCCCCATGTCTCTAACCCTGCTTCCAGGGTAGCTGGTTCCTCTTCTGGCTTCTGGGGGGGCATCAGGCGTTTGTGCAAGGCACAGACACATACACAGGTGAAACACTCACACACTAAGATAAATTTTTAAAGAAGGATGCGATCAGGTTAATCTGACACAGACTCGATGATTTGCGTATTCATCTCTACACCGCATGCTAGGTGGGCTATGGTAAGCAGTGGTGAGAAACGACTGCAGGTAATGTCCCTTCCGCCCGGTCAAGGGCTTGTCAGCTCCCCCTGCTTCTTCTCCGGCTTTCCAGGGTCTCCCCTGGACAGTACTGGGTACCCGGCTGTGTTTCCTCTCCTTCCGGTGGTCCTTATTTCTCCCTCTCCCTCTCAGCTTTCTCATTCACACACGCTTTACAAAAAAATAAATTTATTTATTTATTATATATCCTGGCTGCAGTTTTCCCACCTCCTCTCCTCCTAGTCCCTCCCCCACCCACTCTGTTCCCACCCCCCAATCCACTCCTGTTTAGAAAAGGGCAGGTCTCCCACGAATATCAATAAAACATGGCGTATCAATCAAGTTACAGTACGACTAAGCACCTCCCAGTGTATTAGGGCTGGGCAAGGTGACCCAATAGGAGGAGTAGGGTCCCCAAAACCAGTAAAAGAGTCAGAGACAGCCCCTGTTCCCACTGTTGGGAGTCCCACAAGATGACAAAGCTACACAACTGTAGCATGTGTGCAGAGGGCCTCAGTCATACTTACACTAGAACACTTACACTAAGTGTTTCATGTACACTAAAACACTCTTCAGCCTCATCTCATAGGATCCTGGCTTTTAGAACCAATAGGGTAAAAAAAATC